GATTCCGACGACGAACCTCACGCTCGATGCGTACCCGTCTCCGCCTCAAGAAACGACTTCTCAACTGGATTCTTCGCCCTCGACGACTCTCTCGCAACGGCCCACACCCGGCTCCAACGCGACAGTCAACGGACCGCTCGATATAGGACTCAAGGACAATATGATGTACGCTACTCGTACCCCCCTCTCTGACGCTGAACTTACAGAAATTCTTCGGTTCGGCAGAGAGGAGGGCGGCTGGACTCGCCTTCCGGACCCGACTTCCCCTTCGCCGGCGACGATCTATGCTCCGCAGCCCCGCCCTGCTACGAACCCCGACACCTCGTCGAACACGCTACACGCCAACTCTATACAATTCCCGAGCACACCGCACCCACTCACCGGACGCGTCCTCGACGACGAAGACTATCGGCCCATCGTCGCGGAGGCCGAAGGAACAAGCGAAGATGTCGACTTCCCTGGGTACTATCGGGCAGCCGGTTGTCTGATCCCTCTCGGCGACCCTCTATTCAGCGAGAATCGATTCAAGGCTCCGATTCGCGCCGAATCTCCCCCGTTCTACCCAAACTCGATCCATCTCCTGATGGCCTCCGACCGTTCGTACTTCAAGACTCTTTCGGCGCCTACGACCCCCGAACCAGCTTCGCCGGACGACCCTCACTCGTGCACCTATGTCATCAAGCTGGTCCCTCGCGACGACCCTCGACTTAACGGCCATCCGTTCAAGCCGAGCCGACTTCCCGGCCCTGGCGAACCCGTTGCGCCGCACTGGGTCAACGAAGAGACCCCGCTGCTGTACATCAGCGAAGGACTATTCCAGATACTTTCGGTTGGCTTTGCGCTTCGCCCATTCCGCGACAGCGTAAGTCGATCTCTTTTTCGACTACTTACAGCTTCTAACTACAAGAACTTACAGGGCAGCCTCGAATATCGCAAGAACTTCGACGAAGCGGTGGACCGTCTCCGAGAAGATGGTATCGACCCTTACCCCGAGCTCTTGGGGTATTATCGCGAGGACGGCTACGCCATTCCTATCGGCCAACCGCCCTCGAGCGACCACCGAGTCAAGCTGCCTATCCGAGCCGTGTCTCCTCCAGGATTCCCTCGCGCTATTCACGACCTCGCCATCGCGGCACCCCTGGTATTCCGACCGTTATCCGCACCTTCGACGCCCCGACCCCCTGAAAGCCAGTACCACGTTTTGAGGACGTACGTCCTCGAACTGGTACCGCATGGCGACCTCAGGCTCTGTGGCCGCATGCTCCGAAGCAGCCGGCAGCCTCTGCACGGAGAAAACCTCTCACCTCACTATACGGACGACTCGACACCCCGGATGTACTTCGTCGAAGATGACTTCAACATTCTCGTCAGCATGACACGAGAAGCGCAATCCGAGGCCTCCAACATCGATTCACCCGAGAACGGCTCCCCTCCGACGACGCAAGTACAAGACGAGGAGCTTCAACAAGCTCTGCTCAACGGCGAATTCCCCGCCCTGCCCGACGAATACTACGCCGCCGCTGGATGCGCGATTCCCATCGGGGAACCGCCCGATAGCCCCCTTCGAGTCAAAGTCCCTATTTGCGCCGCCTCACCACCCGATCTCCCCGGCTCAATCCACGACCTCTCAAAACAGATGCCTCGCATATACCGCCCGCTATCTGCGCCGACAACGCCCGACCCGCCCGCACGCGACTATCCTACGTCATGTACCTACGCCCTCGAACTTGTCGACGACCGCGACCCTAGGCTCACTGGGAAACATCTCCGGGCCCTGTACCACGATTCGGACGGCTCAACTCTCGCGTCGCACTCGGTCACCGACGATATGCACCGCCTACTTTTCAGCCGCGGACTGTTCCAACTGCTGGCGCGGGTCTCGCATCAGGCCATCAGCAACCGAGCCCGCGAACAGGTAAAACGATCGACTTACGCTCTCAGACACTTACCGGTACTAACATCGACTCAGGAGCTCGCAGAAATGCATGCCCGACGGCACCATCTCGACGCGCCCGATGTCGACATGGACGCCTCCGACCTTCAGGGCCCCATGCGTGCCAATGCACTCGTTCTGTCACCTCCGGTCCCGCCTCACCTATCGCTTCCCGACCCGCTGACGACACTTCAACACGCACCGCTAGACGGAAACAAACTCTCGCGACGCCTCGACAGACTCAGGATCGCGGAAGGACCCGCAGCTGAAGACCGCCCGCCCACACCTCGACCGCCGATGGAAGGAATCGAAATCAGCGTAGAGCATCGACTCCGATTCCCGCCCACAAATGTCATCCTCAACGACCCCGGCATGCCGTACTATTGCGCCGACGGTTACTTGATCCCCGTCGGCGAGTCTCCGACCAGCGCCAACCGAATCAAGATCCCGATGCGACTCCAGACTCCTCCAGGGTACCGCGGCACCGTCCACGCGCTCTCGCAGGTCGACCCGTCCCTCTTCCGCCCAATGTCAGCGCCTCCGACTCCCGAACCAGCACCCGAAGACTATCCAACCTCGCAACGCTACCATCTCTTTCTCGACGCACCCCGGGACCCGGCCGAACGCCAATCTCCATTCTCCATCGAAAGCTCTCTGGTACCTCCTCAAGACGATCGCCCCTCGACGCGAACGCTACGGGACTCGGACCCGTACCTCTGGTTCGACGAGGCCCTTTTCGACTACCTCCATATCACTTACCCCCTCGCCGACGGATGGAGCAACAACATCAACGATCCGGCGACATGTCTCCCCGGCCCCGAGGGAGGCGACGCACCTGAGTTGCCCACCGTCGACGAAGAAACGCACCTCGCTGAATACGACCGCCTCACCATCAACTACCCGACCTCCACCGAGCGCACAACGGTGACACCGCCCCCGTCTATCTGGCGCAACGAGCAGGACCCCAGGTACGTTTACCTGAATTCAGTCTTATCACTGGAAGCTCATCCTTTCGAACCCTCTAGTAGCGGCCCCGTACCAGCGTTCTCGCGCTCGGACACAACGACTCCTGCGAGCGAAGAACGTCCCCGAACCCCCGCCGGCCGTGGACGTAGCATGTTCCGGGTCATGTATGACCGGATATGCGAGCTCACCGAGGCCACTCAATTCACTGTGGCCGCGATCGCCACGCTCCTCTCCAGCCACGCATCGTTCTATCGCACCGCCCGCACTCAGCACGAAGCCATGCAAGCGGCTCTCTCGCAAGTCCTCGACCAGGTCGCTGCCACGTCCGACGCCGTCGCCGAATATGCTACCGACCACCGAAACTTCGTGGACCGACTCACCGGCGATGTACTCGATCTCCAGCTCGACATTAATGCTATCCGCACCAATGTCGAAGCTTGGAACTGGACGCCGGAGGACGGCGACGAAGTAGACGGTACGCTATTTCTCTTCACCGACAAACCACCGCCTTCGCTAACTACCGTCCAGTCGACCATATTCTCCGCTCTTCGTCAAGCTCCAGCTCAGACATCGACATATCCGCCGCCGACTACAACGACCTCCAGCCGTGAAGACTCCCCCGCGATGACCCCTCAAGACGCTACGCACCCCCAAGCAGATTCGCAACCATACCGTTCCACCCGCACTGGCCTGCGTCGCTCTCTAACTACACGAAACACGCGCTCGGACTCGCGATCGACTATATGCGATAGGGATTCGGACTATGTACATGTACCACCCTCCCCGGTCTTGCGAACTCGTATCCCTAGCCCTGCCAGCTCCCCGACTCCTCCGCCTCGGTTATGAAATTTCCTAGTAGCGTAGTCAATCTGCCTGTAGCTCGGAAATTCATGTATCCTATGAGTAATGATATCAAAAATGTACGGAATGACTTACCTGGACAAATACCGGAAATCCTGAGCCTCGGACTTCGAGTTTCTGAAGCGCCACCCACCGGGCCGTTGGAGTTTGAATCCACGGAGGATGAGTGGGTCACCGCGATATGGCTCGGAGATGCGGCCGACTTACCGGAGAATGTGCGAAATCAACCCAAAATAATACACCTTAACTCACAACTGTCGAATTTCAGCTCTAACGTAGTACAACTAAGGGCTGAAGATGGTATTGACAGCCAGGCCTATAAAGCCTCGAACGGACTGTCTAGTAACCGTGAGAAAGTGAACCAGGAATTTGGCCAAACCGGGCGGATTGGCGATAAGGAACCGAAACATGGACGTATGAAAAATCCCGTGTTAGTATTTGGCGCGTACAAGCGAGTTGACAGGAAAATCAAGCCAGTACCTGGAGTATACCCAGAAGATGCCAAGGTAACCAGGCAGTTTCCTCGCAACCCTCTGACTGGCTTGACAAAATTACCGGAGCGCCCACCAGATTTTACTCCAACTCAGAAAATAACCCAAGAACGCATGAATGCTATGGACATAAATAGTGATCACTACTTATGGCCAGAAGAGGAGAAACTGATAAAGCATGTTCTAGTTAAGAATGAACGTGCGCTCGCGTTCGAAGACCATGAAAGGGGAATTTTCAGAGACGACTATTTTTCGCCATATATCATCCCTGTGGAACCGCATGTCCCTTGGGAGCATCCAAACATACCCATACCTCCAGGACACAGAGAGGAAGTTATCCGCATGCTCAAAGAATTTATCGCTCATGGAGTATACGAACCAAGTCAATCGTCATATCGGTCAAAGTGGTTCTGCGTAGCAAAGAAAAATGGCAAGCTTCGAATAGTGCACAACCTAGAACCACTCAATGCGGTCACTATTAGGGATGCAGGACTACCCCCCAATCTGGATGACTTTGTTGAACCCTTCGCGGGACGAGTCGTGTATACGGTGTTTGACCTATTTTGGGGTTTCTATGCAAGGAAACTTGACCCCAAAAGCAGGGACATGACGTCATTTATGACACCTCTAGGCCTGCTGCGCATTGCGTCATTGCCCATGGGATTTACTAATAGCCCAGCAGAGTTCCAAGCCTGTATGATGTTCATCCTACAGGACGAAATACCGCACGTAGCCAACATCTTCATCGATGACCTACCTATCAAAGGGCCGACTACTATGTACCTGGACAAGAAGGGCGACCCTGAAACACTGCACAATAACCCCGGCATCAGACGCTTTATGTGGGAACACATCAATGATGTTCATCGGATCATGCACCGCATCGGAGAAGCCGGAGCAACCTTCTCAGGAAAGAAGACACAAATTTGCAAGCGAGAAGTACTGGTAGTAGGGCACAAATGCACACCTGACGGACGGTACCCCAATGATTCGGCAATTGAGAAAATACGGAAGTGGCCCCTTCCCCAGACTACTAAAGCTATTAGGGGATTCCTAGGACTCTGTGGGACAGTGCGGATATGGATCAAGGACTACTCCCTGCATGCGCGCCCATTGACAGAGATGGTACGAAAAGATGCCGAAGTCGAATGGGATGAAAGGCGACTCCAAGCATTCAGGACGCTCAAAGACAAAGTGTGTACATCTGAAAAAATCTTGATCTATATAGCTGCCCCTCAGAACTATGGACACTATTGTCGTGCTATGGATGCTATATAGAAGTCACCCAGTTGCTATATAGTGCTATGGTTGCTATGTAGAAGTAGGACAGTTGCTATATAGTGCTATATAGTAATTATAGGTAATATAGTTCAAAGTACTAGCTACATAGTAATACATAGCTCATAGGTGCAGTCAATATAGCAACCATAGATTTGGTATGTATCTGTATAGTGGTGATAGCAGGGCTCCCAACTTACACCTACCATGAATTAAGTCAGTCTCAGGTTCTGAACTGTAATGTCAGCCTATACATTGTTAGATATATGCATGAATAAACTATATACAAGGTGGCTAAGTATCAAGGAGCTTGTGCTATATGAATGGACACAGAGGCCAACGCGGACTTAGAGATTCAACGCGAAATCACGTGTCACGTGACAACCCGAGTCCTCCGGTTTGTCATCCCACCGCGCTGGCAAGTGCGCACATCATCGCGCAAGGCGCCAGACCCACTGTCACACCCCTCCCCGAGCACTCGAAGCCCGCCCCGCAACTTTGAAGACCGCCCGCCACCAGCTGCCACCGCCGGCCCCTGTCGTTTGCCCAGTCCCGCCCGCCCTCATCCACCGCCCTCATCCATCGCCCAGCGCCGAGCGTGAGCCGCCAACGCGGTCACGCTCGGCGTCGCCTCCCTCCTTCGCGCTCCCCTCCGCCCAACGCCGAGCTCGAGCCGCGAACGCGGTCGGGCTCGGCGTCGTCTCCTACCCTCACGGCCCCCCTTCGCCCGACGCCGAGTACGAGCCGCCAACGCGGTCGGGCTCGGCGTCGCATCCCGCCCCCCGCGCCCGCCTCCGACCAGCCTCTCGCCTGCCTCTCGTCCGCCTTCTCATCCGCCTTCCCGCGTCTCGCCGCCTTCTCGCGTCTCTCTCCCCGCGTCTCGCCCGCCTCCCCGCGTCTCGCCCGCCTTCTCGCCCACCTCCCCGCCCCTCTCCGGCCTCTCGCCCGCCTTCTCGTCCGCCTCCCCGCCTCTCTCCGGTCTCTTGCCCGCCTCCCCGCCTCTCGCCCGCCTTCTCGCCCCTCTCCGGCCTCCGTTCAACGCCGCGCTCCCGCCTCCCCGCCTCTCCCCCGCCTCTCTCCCAGCCCCGAGCCCGAGCCGCCAACGCGGTCGCGCTCGGTGTCGCGCTCGCGCTCGCGCTCGCCCTACGCCGAGCCCGAGCCGCCAACGCGGTCTTGCTCGGAGTCGCTTCTCCCCGCCCCCGCGCTTCGCCCAGCCGCGAGCCCGAGCCGCCAACGCGGTCGCGCTCGGTGGCGCCTCCCTCCTTCACGCCACCTCCGCCCAGCGCGAGCCGGTAACGCGGTCGCGCCCCTCCCGCTACCTGCCCGTCGCCTACCACCCCTCGCTCGGCGCCAGCACCCTCCCCCACTCCCCCTATGGTTAGGGGCGGCATGTCTATGCTGATTACGTAATCAATACATTCACTAGTAGTACTCGATACAATTTTGTCATCTATGTAAAATATAATGAAAAATAATAATTCTTGACTAGAATTTGAATGATTACCAGTGATATATAATAAATAAATGAAAGTAATTTTATTCAGATGACTACAATATCTATCGAGCATATGATTGCTGTAGAGTTTACATAGGATATATAGTTTCAGTAGCACTAAGGTGTGAGCTATATAGCACTGAGGTATGCCCTACATAGCTACTATAGCCATGATAGTACCCTCTATAGCACCTATAGCACTATGATAGCATTGGCTGGTGGATATTTAGCACGGGTAGCAAAGGACATCGCTATGGACCTATGGAGGCTATATGGGACTATGTAGTGCCATATAGTGATCTAGATTTTTTCAGATGTAGTGCGCCTGCCCTCATGCCCATTGATTACACATCCCCTAGAACGGTAGTACTATCGGTCGACTCAAGCCAAATAGCCGTCGGGTTTGTGTTATC